GGGAGTCATAATCTTACAGCCATTTGCTTGGAAGACAATGAAGGGAAGGCAGAACAGACTGGGAAACTACAGCTTGCCACAGTAAGAGAAGAGTACAATCTTTGTGCCCAGATTTCTTTGCTCTGCAGGATAAGTTTTACAAAGCTGACAACCGGTAGCAACATGTAGTGGCCCCAGGCATCATGCCTGCCTATCAAAGACTTGGATTTTAGCCCTGGAGAAATTACAGCTTCTCAGTTCTCTGGAAGCTATGTAGGCCAAGAAGAAACAAAGAAGAGTAATGAATGACCTAACTAAAAATTATTTTAATATACTGATTGCATACTGTAAGTCATAAACTTAGGAGTGTGGCGAGAACTCAGGCAAGATGGGGAGGAAGAAGACATCTTGAATTTGTCAGGACCAGCATAGCCACAGATCACAAAAAGCAACCGACTTGGGCTGCTATGACAGTGAAGCCATCTACTGGAGTGGTAGGGACTGGCACACCAAATGGAAGGTATGGGTCCAACAGATAAACCATGTGGAAAAAGGAGGGGAAACTCAGCAGTTCAGACTGGAAAAGAGAGCAGAGAAAAGACAGGTTCAAAAGTCCTGAGTCGAGAAGCCAGTCAGCAGGTGTGTGGAGAAGAGAGAGAAGAGGGAGATAAACCCAAGGATGCTGCACAGAAGTCAATAAAAAGGCATTTGGCTTGCAGCAACTCCTAAGTGCTTGTGGCTTATGGCCTCACCACTGCATGTTCCTCTGCAGGACTCAACTCCACTCTGGCTATCTCTCTGCTGGGTGGCAGAAGCAAGCAGACACAGCCTGGCTCTCACACGCTGCCCACCATGATTCCTCACCACTGAAACAGCCTTACTGCTGCATACCACCAAGGCAAGTTTATACCCATGCACTCAGAGGAGAGTGGTGTCAGGGCCAGGAAAGGGGGTAAGCTTTTGCACAGACACAGTAACTCTGCTGTATTTCTGTAACGTCCACGTTAATACAGTGTTCATCAGTTTAAACTGCCAAACCAAAGGCCCAAAGCTACAGGGAGAGACTTTTTCTGAAGCCCTGCAGGAGACCCAAACTGCTTCAGCTTCCTCTCCCGAATGTCAGCCTTGAGCCACTCTTGCCTGGCTGGCAGAAGCATGTGATGTGAAATAAAAGCCAGGAAATAAGACTTTCTGAATAAACATTTATTTGGTGATAAATATGTCTGATTTTGGGCAGAGAAATGTCAGAAACCTGAAGCCATATGTATACCTACAGAGTGCATTTTCTATTTAAAGGGAAGCTGCAACTGTTTGTAGCTCTTAGTGAAGAATAATGCCTGGGAATAAATTACTGCCATTTCTGAGAGACATTTCTCAAATGGCAGTGATTCTTCCCTTTTTCCCCTCTCCCTGTAAATACCAAGTGCCACGTACCGGGAAGTTGTTCAGAAGAATGGACACACACAGCCCTTGCTTTTGTCAGCAGCCTGGTAATTTCCATAGAAAACCATGAAGTGGTTTAGCATATGGATACCAAAGTGATTCAAAAGCAAAGACATTCAGAAATATTAAGGCTGCATGTGTCAGAATGTCCCATCACTCTTCCAAGATGCGCACAACTCATCACTGTTTGAACAGGCATCACTGCCAACCACACCACAAACTCAGCACTGAGGCTCAAGGTGTTGGAGATGTCTCAGAAAACCACTGTAAACGGCTCACTAGTGTTCAGTTTTCATCACTTGTGTATTCCTCCTCTCTGAGGGGCTGCCAAAGCAGCAGTGTGGAGAAGGTGATGCTCTGGTGAGAGGGTGTGCTGGGGCTGCTGCCAGCCCAGCCAGGTGCCTCAAGCAGTCGCACTGACATCAGCTCCAGGAGCTGTCGCTCCCAGCCCCACTGCAGGTCCAGGTGCCAGGAAAAACAGCCTGTGGCCTGTGGAGCTGTACAGACAAGATAGGACCATGGTGAAAGGAGCAAGGAGGGCCAAGCAGTGGAGAAAGGAGGCAGCAGCTCAAAAATGGGAAAGAACCGGGGCTAAGCCCTGTGCAGCTGCAGTCCCCATGACCCCCTCTGAGGTCAGCTCTTACAGCAGCAGGTTCCCACCAGAGGCAGGCATGGAAAACCTGTCAGAGACAGAAGCAGGGATGCTTACTATCCTGACATCTGCAGTTTGCCCCAAACAACAGTCATAGATATGAGATCAACTGTAGACTTTTCAGTTATTGACACATACTGGATTTAGAGATTTATTTTCCATTTCCCACAAACTGTGCCAGAGGTTTTCGCATAAGCACAAAAAAAAAAAGTGAAGAAATGCCTGTGAGTGAGGAACACGAAGAGTTTATTCATTGCTCCTGTCAGAATGTGTTTGTGCTTGTGTGGCTAGCACTCCAAAAAAGCTGCAGCATATGTTTCAGGATGGAAAAAAAAAAAAAAAACAAAAAACAACTCAGGATACCTAATTCCTACCAGAAAATTGCCAAACCATATGCTGGAATTCTCGAGGTACTCTTCTGCGAGAGCAAAGGAACCTCACGCCGCTTTGTTTTTACCCCTTACTAAGTGAAATAAACATTACTCCTTAACAAATCCTCCTGACATCCCTTTTTAATTTTGCTAAAAAGGAATACGGACTTGATCTGAACAAGCTCTGCTATTCCAGAAATGTGCTTCATCTGAATGAGGAGAGCAAGAGAAAGGAAGCAAGAGATTTGTACTGTTTAGTAAACAGGCAGTTTCTAGGTGGATACAATACACTGGTCCCAATTTACTGCCCCCCTGCCCCCACCCCCTTCCTCTGAAATTTGCCTGGGTGGCAGGAGGAGGCAGCGGAAGGGGTGAGAACAGCTACTGCTTGCAATGGAAAGGTCTGATCGCTTTCTGCGCATCTCAGTGTGACAACACCCTGCAAACACTCACAGAGGAGAGTAGTATTTTTCAGTAAAATCATTGTTATGCCGGCATTTCCTTTTAGCAGAAACACCATCCACCCTCATCTCTGGTATTCTTATCTTCCTGAGAGGATAAAGGGAAGAAGGGAGGGGAGAGGAAGAACCTGGCTGACGACCTCCTTCTTGCAGCACTGTCCTCCAAACAGAGCCAGGTGACAGAATATGCTTGTGGGGAACCTCTAAAGAACTCTCAATCATCTATGAATGATTCCCAAAAGAAAGCAGTCCTGGATGCCAGGGTGAGAGCAGTTCTCAATAGAACTTTCTTTCCAGCAGTACCTGGTGAGAAGAGCACTGCTTTTTCTGCACACACCTGGGACTCATGAGTACAGTTCAGGGTTTTGTCACTGCAAGGGCAGACCACTGTGCTGCGCTTTGAAGTGGGCTCATTTAAAACCATTTAGGACAGGGCAGAGTGCAATAATTACACTGACAGCATCTTCAGCAGATACTCCATCCCCATGATTGCCTCCTTCTCTCATGCATTTTATCTGGCTGATCTGGCACACCACATACCTTGGAGGACCCAGGGAATGCTCTTCTCCACACGAGTCAGTGCTGCTGTTGCAATCAGTGGAGGTGATTGCAACATCTTGAACAAACATCTCCTGTTATCCCAACAGCTTTGCATGCTAGGCCAGTTTATTCTTATTATTATTTAAAGCTGCCCTCCTCTGTTCTAGGATGTCAGCGTGCAAAGTAAGCCTTTGTGGTTTCAAAGAAGTCTTTTAAAGTGTGGGAATAAGCTGATATGGCCACATCTGCTTGGATATATAGACAGTGAGAAGCTGCAGGTCTCAGAGGCCTCTTATTCATCTTAATGAGTTACTAACTTGGCAGTGTAGTGGTACTAGTAGCTCACAATTCCAAATGTCAGCTTTGTTAACTATTTCACTGTAGATCAAAGCATGTGGGAAAGGGGAGAGATTATGAAGATTTGTCAGCGTCTTCTCTAACATGTATTTTGCAAGTGATTCTTGGGAAAGCAAGACTCTCTCAATTTGCTTCCCAAAATCTAAACCCAAAGGTAAAAGCAGAGCAAAGGAGGGCATCCAGCTTCCAGGGAGCTAACAGATATGCCCAGCACTCAGAAAATATATTTATAATTTTATGTAAAGCACAAAAACTATTTGCTCAAACTGGAAGAATCTGTAGCTGTTTTATCACTACTAACATCCTGAAGGACCACAGCATACTCTGGGCATAAGGATTTAAATACTAACCTAACTTTGAAATTACCAAGGTTCCTTCTTAAAATAAAAGTAAGGATTATACTCAAATTTGGCAGGCACACAATTCTTATTTTCCCTGGTTTTTGAGGATGTTTCTGTTTCAATCCAGAAAAGCAGTGGCCTTCATGAGAAAAACAATGAACACAAAAATATGTATGCCTTCTATTTAGCCATCCCTCATGGGAACAGTTTCTTTTATCATATGCCACAACTGATCAGGGTCTTAGTTATGCTACTGTATTTCCCCCTGAAAGGTGTGCTACTTCATTTCCCGTGAACACAAACCTCTGGGAGGAGCATTTGTATTGAAAATCCTCAAACTAATGTAACTAACTGATCAAAGCAATAGGAATTTGGAATACCAAGCACAAAAATCCTTCTTAGCATTCCTGTAACTTGAAAGTGACCAATTTCAACCACTGCATAGGCATTTATAGAACTCCTGAATCTGACTTGTAGATTGCTGAACTGTTATCCATAGTTTTTTTCATTCTTCTTAGCCTACAGAGTCACATGCCTTGAAATGCAGGCTTACGTGTTTAACTAAAAAGTGATAGTTGTGTGTTAAATAACTGTAGCAGTCCACAGAAAAGAAACACAGCATCTTTCCTTAGAAAACACTGTTCTGCCTTTGAAGACATGAAAAGAAAATAAAAAAGAGAGAGGGAGAGAAATTCAAGCCTGGCTTTGCAGCACAACCCAAACACACCTGCCTTTGGTTTCAGCAGAGAGAAAAGATGCTCAGTACATCACAGGGATGGAAGCAAACACCAAAGTGCAGATACCACCCCCCAAAAGACACAATTGTAAGTACACGTTATTGCTGCTAGGAACTCACAACATTCACTATGTTTTTCCTCGGGGAATTCTCGATTATCCTTTAGCATGAAGATTTTTCAGAAACTGCAGAACTGCTCACAGGTCCTCACTGGCTTTCCTCTTTCAAACAAAGTAAGTTAGAGCTGTGAAAGAAAAGCAAAACAAAGTAAGAAAGGAAAGCAAAGAATAAAAGGAGAAAAATCCACAGAGCTGCTTAACAAATAAACAATTGATTCCTACATCTCCTTGAAGCAAATACATTTTTAACGAGCTCCCAGGATGGAGATTCCAGTACAGCGTGAGTGCACATCAAATTCTGATCCAGCATATGAAGAATCATTTGCTCTTCTTATTACCAACAATTAAAACCCAGTTCAGAGGCAAAGAGGCAAATACATAATTAAAATAGTTCTTGGATACTTCTGTTGCCATAACAAGAGGAAGAAAAAACTACTTTGGGTTGTTGTTTTGGAAAGTGTCTGGAAACAAAGCCCATGGTGTACAGAGACATCTACACAGGAAGATTTTTGTTCTCAACAAACTGCTCTAAGAGGGCACAAACACCTATTATTTATTTCTGTGGTCATCTGTAATATTGCAGCAGAGGGGTACTGAAACCAAAAATGCACACACACTTGCTGTTCCTCACTAGGAAGTATTTTTCACATCTCAGACTCAATATCATGTGGTTCTTTCATACTTTTTTTTGACAAAAATTCTTTGGCACCAACTTTTTGCCCTATTGTACAATATATTGAACTATCCTCAACCTTTTTACTGGGGTCTGGGAATATTGCTGAGCTTCACTTCCATGTGAACCTCACACACAATACTTAAAATAGAGCGTGTATTTCCACAGGGCCCAAATTAACCATTTTTCCTTCAGCCAGGTTCCCAGGGTCTACTTGTTCTTCCTGAATTCTTAGTTTCCCTTTGTGCCACAGGTTTGTAGCACCTGTCCTATCTCCTTGAATTCCAGCTCCTCAAACACTTCACATGTAATTTGCAAGATTCCTGCACGTAGATCCCATCGTACCAGTGCTATGATGGAATCCATGTCCCTGAACTGAAAATGTGCAGGACTAAAGTCTACATCCGAGACAGTGCAAACCCTCTTTATTGTCAGTGCAGGAAACTAGGCAATCTAGAAAATGATGAATTTGACCTATCTTAAGCATCTGCTCTAGGACAGAATGAATCACTCTCCAGAAAGGTCTGCCTCTCTCCCTCCATAAAGTGAGTCTAGACACTGAGCTCAGATTAGATGGCTACAAATGAATGCAGATGAATCTCACCCTTCATGAAGGCAGGAAACAAGTCAGACAGATGGACAAGAGCAGTTCACAGGTGAAGAGCAGAGAGAAGGCAATGCAGTGACAATTACTCAAAAAGGTTTACAGCCCTGAGACAGTCTGGTTTACTTGAACATACAAAGCAACAACAAAACTTTCCAAACTCCAAACCACTATTTGCCCAGCTAACCCAGCTTTGGTGTAAGACTCCTCCAGGATTTACTGGCTGAGGCTAAGCTCTTGCAGAGGAGCATCTATGAACCAATAACCAGATGGTTGGCACTCTCCAAGGTACACCGGCAATGATGACCATTACTACTAGTCTCTTACATGCATCTTTGTCTTTACCCTGATGGATTGTAGCAATGCCAGATACCTATTACAGAAGTCTTCCCAGCTTCAGAAACCCTGAGCTGGAGGGGCAACTCCTGTATGACAGAGACACTGCAAGCTTAAGAGCCTTCAGGCACCCAGGCCCTGGCTACATTTCCAGCATTTTGATCACCAACTTCTCTCCTCTACTAAGACTCTGCTGCTAATCTCATAGAGAAGCACATCATCAGACATGACCTCACAAAATTTTTAACTTTAGAAAGCACACCAAAAAGAGAAAAACCACACAAACTTACTGTTAAGTCAACCCTTAAAATTTTGCTTAACCCAAACTAATTAATTTTCAAGCCATTCATTTTTTCTTTAGAATTCTATGAATCTCAAGATTCAAAAAAAGCAACAAAACAACAAGCTCAAAATACTCAAAGCATTTTATTTCTATGTGTTAGCATTTTGTTTCAAAGTGTTAAAATGAAACATTTCAGCACTTAAAAAATTCTGTGGTTTTTCCCGTAATAATTTGGCAATCAAAAAATCTCCTAAAATTTCAATTTTTCAGTATTCATCTCTTGTCATTCAACATTCAGAGGAACCTGAAAATGGTGTCCAAAGGACTATAAGAAAATACTTAACATTTCTGCCAAAATTAGACAATTTCTAATTATTTTTCATAAGAGCAGGTAAGTTTACTCCATGTGAGTCCCATACCAGATTTTGCAGGTCCAGCTTGCACAGACTCCTCTGAGCCTCCTAGGAGAGTCAGTTGTGTGTAACACTGGACTGAAACCCAGCACACTCAAAGTCTTTCCACTAACTTCAACAGGTGGGATTAGGATTTTAATCTTGTTCAAGTTAAACAGGGCTCCAACTACTGAAATGCTGCATGCTAGCTATGCTTCATCTTGCTATCAGTCTGGAATTTGTCTTCCAGACCCCTGGCAGCACATGGACACAGAAACAAGTCACAAGCAGTATCTGTGCAATACACTGCAGTGGTGTTCTGCAGCTGTCATCCTTCTACATGCACTCTTATTTCATAGGAAAGCTGACATGAAGCAAGGTAGCCTACCCCTGAGGGAAAAAGGTGAGAGACCTTGTATTTACCACAGGGTGCCTTTGCACCACGCACACAGCCAGTTATTATGAAGCAGATGATGTGCTGTAAATTCACAAGCTAGTTCAATCTGCTACAACTTGCTCACTTGACCTTAGCCGTAGGCACTTCTTTCTGCAAGGGGCAAGGCATGTCTGCCTACAGATGTTCCCAGACATTTTTATGCTTAAGATTTAAAGACAGCCAGGCACAAATTTCAAGACCTACAGGGAGATACGCTGCTCCTTGAAGTGCAATCCCAACCTGAAAAGCAAAGCACTCATTCCCTAATTGGGACAATCTTTAAGCTATGCAGACCTCATGGGCTGCGATTACATGCTCTTCTTGGAACGTGTAAAAGAGTCATAACTTGGAGGGACCCACCAAGGAAGGCTGGTTTGCAGTAATGAAGTCTTAAACTGAAGTTGCAACATGATCAATGAATCATTATCACATACATGGTTATCGATAACATCTTTGCTATAAATGGAAGTGTTATGCAATGAAGCTGTTTTTCATGGTCCTACAGCATTGTGGAAATTCAAGTATCACAGCATAGACCTGCCTTTGAGTGATAAAAGGACTGAATTGAAAGATTAGAAGTGTAACTGAGAGATGAACAGACCTCAAATCAAAGATCATGGAAGTACTTCTTGGGAGTATTTAGATACTAAAATTGGACCCCAAAGCAATCAGCAAATAAGAACCATAGTACAAGCAAGCAACTGCAAATTGGCAAAACTGAAAACCAGAAGCTGGCTCTGTGCAATAATCTGCATTTATTCCAAGAGAAGGTCATGCTCTACATTTTGCTTTGAAGAGCAGGCTGTGAGAGATCACTTTTTCTAGTCCTTTCCTGCAAGTTTTTATTTGCCATTCCTTGCTCTCCTGCATGATGTAATTTGGTTTTCCTAATTCACAAATCAGCATAAGCTAATAAAACTGTTTAAGAGATGGCAATGTTGTTCCCAAGTTGTTTCGCTGTTCGCTATTATCCCACAACTAATCCTTCAACTCAAATAAAACCGTAATTCATTTCCTCCTTTATTCTCTCTCTGCATGAAATAGTTTTAGACAGGTTCAATCCTGCCCCACCGCAAATGGGAAAGGCGAGGTTGTATCTTCCTGGAGTGTGTGTGATTTCAATTACCTAATGTGAGTATCATCTATCACGTCAGGAAAAATCTTCTAAATTATTTTCAACAGGTTTAGCTGATTTTACACATATAGAAAAGATTCTAATGGAAATAAAAAAACCAAAACAAACAAGCAAGACCAAAACCACAAAACAAACCAAGAATTAACTGTGTTTTAGATTTCAAGTTAATAAAAACTTCTCTATACCAGCCATGCCAAACATTAACCATCTGGACATCACCCATTTCCTGACATTTTGGCTAGTGTACAAAAGCTGCTCCTGATGGGGATGATTCATCTTTACATTAATTGCTCTGCTAGTGTAAAAAAGACTTAAATCACAATTATGCCTACTTTAAGGCTATGGTAAAGGAATTTTGTCTTAGCACTAAAGAGGCTTCCTTTGCATAAAGCAGACATGCATCACTCTTATTCTTGTTTAGCATCCACTTCTCATCTGAAGCTTGATTCTCCACATCTTTGTCACATAAACAAGCACTGCCCATGGCTTTGCATATGATCCACAGTGAAATGCCAGACTTCACAAGGTGTGAAGTTTGTGAAAGGTGAATAACTGTATCTTGGTGTAAGGGAATAGTAAATCAAGTTGTCAGCACTTCGCATATCCAGAAGGTCCTTAACCAGAAAGCCAGCATGCAGATGATGGGGCTCAGATAAGGAAGCAATCCATCCTGCCCCACAATTTGTAGTAAGGGGAGGAAGATCTATGTTACCTTCCCCAGCTCTGTGAACACATCCATGGGCCACCCAGCCCAGTACCATCTTTTCTGTGTGAATGTTATTTCCAGTGCGAGTGCTTACTCACTGGGAAAGTGAAGTGCTGCAGGATGGGAACATCTGTCTGCAGTCACCAGACCTGACTGGCACGTGGGCCTGAAGGGGTAAGGCTGCAGCTCACACCCTCCAGTACAGGAGCCTCTACTGACGATGACCACTGACTGCATAACTGGTACTGTTAGTCATCTAGAAATCAGTGTCCCAAGATTTAATCTAAAATGAAAAAAAAACATTCATCATTATTTCATCCACAGCAGGTATTTCTCACAACTTAAGGCTCAGCTGAACCACCCTTCATTTCAGCATCAACCTATGCAAGCAAACTGGGAAAGGATTTTTCAGTCCTGCTCACTAGACATCTGCCCTTCCAAATCTGTCATCTGGAAACCATGGAAGCAACTTTGCTCCCAGAGTGGTCCCCACTGCTCTCATTACCCATTCCCTAACCCCAACGCGATCAAGCAATTGATCAGAAAATAGATGAAGGTTC